CTTCTTTAAAACTCTTCTTTTCTGCACCTGGATATTTAACCAATGAACTATGTACATAGTTATGAGGAGGAAGGATGCCTCTTTGAGAATTTGGCTTCTTGTGTTAGGGCGCGGCTCTAATGTTTATACAGTGAAAATGCATGAATTCTTTGAAAATCTTTTCCTTTGTTGTTGGGTATAATGCCAATGATCTTAGTATATATCTTTGACAAAAAAACCTGCTTCTTCCAAATATGGTTAATTTCCTCGCCCCTGGGACAGAGGTATTTTTTTTTGGGGGGGGGGGGGGTAACATAGTCTAAAATAATTTAATGCTTTGAAATCTGCAGTTTGGTATTAATGAACAGCATGATGAAATAGAATTTTTAAAAATTCCAAAATTTTGAAAGATGTGGCCCCAGCGTCAGTGGTTCCTGTGGGATGGGGAGCTCATCTGTGGACCCGCACTAACACAACAAGCCCTAACCCAGAGGCTCTGAAATTCACTAAAAGTGGAAATGCATTTTGTCTTTGTTACTCTGATCTTCCTCTGGGTATTAAGTAACCCAAATAAGCATGCTGAGTGTATAATTATTATCAGCAATGGTGTCTCTTTCAAAATTGTGAATTTCATGGCCTGTGGTTTAAAAAATGAATCAAATTCAATTGTTGGAAAGTTGTTGCATGATACTCAGGTGACCTATAAGGCCCATGGGCCTCTTGTTTTCTGATGAATTCTAGAAATATGTCTGGAACTGGTAGCCAGGGAAAGTTGAAATTCTGTGTGTGGTCATTTCTGTTTTCTCCAGCCGGTAAGCTGGTTTTCGTTACTATTTATCTGTTTATAAGAGTTTGTTACTTTTTGTCTGTATACTTGTTTTGTGTTAGGTAGGTGGATAAATCTGTTATTTGATAGTATTCTAGAAAGGCCGTTTAATTTATTTTAGTGCAAAAGGGCATAGACTATACGAGGGGCTAGGGGCTTAGGACAGCAGATGTGAGTGGTCAGTTTGTGTCTAGGACCGGAGCATACGGAGGGGCGGCGGTGGTACTACGTGTACTTCATCATTACAGACCAATGATAAAGCCATAGCGTCCGTCTAACGGATGGACAGACGACTACATAGACGTTAGAAGTGGGAGACCTGTGAGTCCGGCGGTCTAGAGCGTTGTATGGACACAGTGGTGTCGGAAGCCCCGTGGTGCTGATATTAGTGTTGAACTACAATGTAGGAACAGTTCTCAGACAAACTTCAAATTTGATTTATTCAAGAAACATTTCTAAAGTTATATTACAGTAAAAAGTATTGAAAGTACAAATTCTATTTTGAGCTTTTTTTTAAACAACTTGAAGTTAATTATTGTTTAATACAAAACTTACTGTTTTCATTAAAAAAAAAAAAGGTTTATTTTGATATTTATTTCTCACACGCAGCTTTAAGGTCATTGTTCATGGTCTTGTCAGTTTAATCTTTATAAAGTTATATTTTTTCTTTCTCTGTGTGAGTGTTTGCGAGTGTGGTGTATGTAAGGTTTTTGTGCTATTTTTTGTTTGTTTATTCATTTGTTTTATCTGTAAAATAAATTTATTTTTGTTTAATTGATTCTACAGTGTTTTGTTTTCTTCCGGACTAACACAAAATCCAAAAGAAGTCATTACACCGTCGTATATTGACTTTTCCTTGATTAAAAAATAAGGATTTTTCTTAGCTTTAAGTATATATAGATTTTCTGATGTTCTTTAATGGGTGTCCTGTAGTCTACATTTTTGTACAATTTAATCTAAAAATAATTGAGATGCAAAGTAAGTCAACCCTCTCATTAAACTTCAAATTAATACATCTTAAAAAAAAATTTTAATATTGATTTTCAATACAATATTTCCTTTATAAAAGCAATGAACTATACTGGAATGTAACAGTGTTATCAATATATATGTGAGGACTCCATTCGATTTTCAGCTAAATTTACTACCAAAAAAGTGAAATGCCTCAATAAGTTTTGTTAAAACAGTGTTGCTGAAAGACCAAGAACTCCATTAAAAGTAGAAATATCATCGATTTATAAAAAGATATGAATATCTGATGGATATCTGAGGACTTTCTCTGTAGACTGCTAATGCTAAAACTGTCCTCGCAAGTCTTGTTGGGAAGAGCTCAAATGTTGATTGATAAGTAACTCGTCGTTTGTAGACTGCATGAATTAGTTGGTGTTTGGTAATTTGCTTGAATTCTTGCAGGAGAAATTTTTTTTTCAATTGTAATGCCAATTTTTATTCAACAAATCAAGATTCTTAATTCGGCATTCCTTCATTAAGTTAAAAAAAATTTTAAAAAAAATTACCGGACTTTCTTTTTAAAATTTTTAAAAATTACCGGACTTTGTTTTAGGACCTCTTTATCTTGCGTTCTTCAATAAATAAATTTTTAAAAAAGTATGTTTTTATATGGAAATTTTTTTAAATTCAGTGTCCTATGAAAAAATGGACCTTAAAATGTCTTTCAATATCATATGAAAAAAGAATATCAACACTTATGGGGTATTTGAGGCAAATACAATCATTTTTTCATATTTGCGTCATCCAAAGTTTAACATGTTCCTTGAATAGAAACGTGCCTTTCTTCAAAGCACCTGTATTTGATAACATACATGAGGAAGGAATCCTTCTTCCAGGTTTAATAATGGGAAGTAAATTAGCGTGTGGTGCAAAATGCACAGAATTTCTTGGACAATGTCTTTCTTACGCTTGGAATAAAAGAACTGCGAATTGTTTATTATTTTCGCAAAAAGTGAACACAAATCTATCATCAGCTATAATTGAAGGAGATTTGGAATTCTACAATATAAGAGGTAAGATAAACATTTCCTTTTTTTCAAATATTTAGATATCATAAACGTTTGAATCTCTTTTGTAATCAATTCAAGAAAATGTTAACTCGAGGTTTAAGTTGATACGAGTAGACCAAATTGCTTTGAGTACATATGCCAATATCTTTAATATTTTTTTTAAAGAAAAATAATCACTTACTATTAAATCAATTTCAGAGTTAATCTATCTTCAATTATTTAAAGAAAATTTGCAAGAACAAAAGTTGATGTATAGGAAAACCGGATTTAATTTTTTTTTTAATTAGTTAAACATGTTTTTCCTTAAGATACTTTTTTCTGGAGCTGGCTCATATTTATCAATATCAAGTGGCAAATATGATGTCTGTTGAAATTCATGTTTCATTTTAAATATTGAAGGAGATGTATTAACAAACAAATATAAACATTATTTTAAAAAATATATCTATAAATTCTCGTCTCATATAATATATAGTGGGGTGTTTTTGTGGAGCGATTAGTTTGGGGTTTTGATGATTTTTTCCTATTGCACACATGATGAATTAGTGTTATAAATATAATTTGTGAAAAAAGTCAAATAAGCCCCGCGGGGTTGAATATCAGGGGGGAAGGAAGGGTCCTGTCCACAAGTTCCTGTGCTAGTAGAGTGCTCGCTCTATGAGCAGAAAGTTGAGGGTTTGAATGAGGTCGAAACTGACCTAAGACATTAAAAATAAATAGCAACTGTATTTCAACAAACACTCGGCATTTTGAAGTTGCGATTCCTTCAGATGAAATCCTTACAAACTGAGGCCCTGTGTCCCGGTATTCAAACGATGGCATGATGAAAAAAAATCATTACTCAGTTGCTCTGAGAACAATGTAATGGTCCAGTATTTGGTGACTTCTCTACCAGTGAGTGGAATATTAAATCTTGAATAGGACGTATAACAGCATACTATCAATAAATCATTTATTCAGTGAAAACAACCGATGTATCAAAGTGGTCATCTACTGATCATGACAAAATTTTGGCAAAGGAGTGATGTTCTTATTTGTTTTACATACAAAAATATATAGCGTTACGTTGTAGAATGGTGAATAAGGGTGACAATCAAACAGACTAAATGAACCTGAATATCAAAACAGTACGGATATATCAAAGAACGGTAAACAATTAACTCAGTTTTCATGGAATTTTGGATTGTAATTTATGTAGTCTAATGCCAATTTGATGAAAAACAGATCCTTTGATCCGCTCACATAGATTGCGGATGTGTAGCGATCTATTTGAGCTGATCAAAGGATCTGATTTTAATCAGATTGAATCTAATGCACAGTTAATGTTCCAACATATAACCATAAGATTGCATGCCATCTTATTCATGTTATTAATAAGATTAAATCATTAATGCGAGGGAATCTCTAAAAAAGAATTCAAAATAATTTTATGGTGCAAAATTTCTTCCATACGGGGCAAAAACAGCCAATTCCTTTAAATTTTTATCAGATGTGTATTTTTTCGTGAAAAATTGGCTATATGGAAATTCTTAAGTAAGATCGTATCCTGACATGAAATTTTTATGAATTCTTATTACATTACAATCTTATTGACTGATTTATTGTATATCTTGTTTTACGTCCCATTCGAGAATTTTACTCATATAAAGACGTCAGCATTTATCGATTTTACCGGTAAAGGGCTCAAATTAGGGACCATTAAGCAGTGAGGGTTCTTCAGTTTGCCATGACACGGTGCCTCAGTTCTTAAGGTCTCTTTCGAAGAAACCACAACTTTCACTTCAAAGTGCCGAGCGTTTGGTGAGGGAAATGTTGCTGCCTACTTTTTACGGCCAAGGCCGGTATCGCGGTCGTGATTCGAACACATGACCTTCCAAACATGGAGTTTACATGGAAAACTCTTAACAGTCTTGTCTAAATATCTGGTTTCAGCATGTTCCCCTGACTTGGAAAATGGAGTTTTGGATGTCAACAAAGCACTCTTCCCAGGCGACACAGTCAATGGCAGTTGTAACCATGGTTACATAGCTATATCCGGAGATATACTTGCGACATGTAACTCAGAGTCCCATATGATATTGTCTGATCGATGCCGTTTATGTAAGTAAAAAAATGTAAACTTTTCTCATCTCGTCACTTTAAACGCTAAAATATCTCATCTTTGATACTCTGTTTGCTCAGTGTTGACGAATGTTGCTGTCGGTAAACCCGCAGTACAATCTTCCACCTTTCAAACTGACGATGCTGCAAAAGCCGTGGATGGCGATAGAGGGACGGATATCATCGAAAACACCTGCTCCCACACTGACACAGGGGACGATAACCCTTGGTGGAGGGTTGACCTTCTGGATAATTATTACATCCTAACTGTTAGAATTGTCAACAGGGGCCTGGACTTTTATGGAATAGGTAGGTCTACCGTCGTCGCAATCCACGGCAAAATGTACGATCATCTCCTACTCTGGGACTCCGAACCGTGGCATGAGACGGCCTTCGAATCGCTTTCATCCCACCTACATGAAAATGGTGAACAAAAATTTTTAAACACCCTAGATTTCTTGTAAGACTGGTTTAAGCAATCCAAAGGCCTTTTAGTAAGTCTGAGGATAATATCTTTGGTTTAAACAATTTTAAGCTTGATCTCCATTAAAAAAAAGTATACATTTTATAATAAATTAAAATACTTTTTATATCTGCAATTAGATGAGTCGGCCAGGCTTAAGGATGTAACAGTCAGCACCGGAATAACACTGTCAAATATTACCTCGTTCTGTGGTTTCTTTGCTGGACCAGGAGTGTTGTCTCAACTAGTGACCATCAACTGTCCACAGTACACAATGGGAAGATACGTACAAATCTCACTGGTGACTCCGTATCTAACCCTCTGTGAAGTAGATGTATTTGTTGTAGATATCTAGCATTTAAAAGGTCGAATTGTTTGAGATGAGTTACTTCAGTGACCATCAACTGTCCTCAGTACACAATGGCCGGAAGATACGTGCATATCTCATTAGTGACTCCATATCTTAAAATTACTCAATGTGAAGTAGATGTATTTGTTGTAGATATGTAGAGTCTAAAGTGGAATTGCTTGCGGTGGTTCCAAGTCGGTTGGCTACATATCAAACTCTCTGTGAAGCATTTTACTCTTTACAAAGAGGATTTATTTGTTTTAGAAGTTTAGTGATCTTTTTGTCACTCTAGGCCAGTAGCTAATTCGTTCTGTGGATGTTTGCCGACTCCGCATCTAACGTTGTGCTATACACTGTGTAAGCCTAATGACCCCGTTTCTTACTATGTGTGCAAGTCATGGAATGTTTTGAAAGTCTATATGTGATTTTTTTCTTATTAATAAATTTTGAAACAATGAACATTGCGTACACATTTTTACATACATGTATATGAAGAATGTAACATATGGAGATAACGAACAGATTCAGGATCAAAAGTCAAAAAACAGTACAAAATAGGAGCAGAGCAAACACGAACCGTCAAACATCAGAGGTATGATCAGGTGCAATGGAGGAGTGAGTATCCCCTGCCGAACGGTCAAATCCGCCGTGTGCTCCTTGTCATGATATGGAATTGACGGGAAAATTCGTCGTCAATTCAGTGTATGAATAATGGACAAACAATTAGTAAGAAAAACATCAGTCAGTATTTGACTCAATGTTAAATTGTGTTTGCTGACAAGGTCGTTGTATCGACCATAGAACGTACGAAATAATGCCTTTAAACGAGACTGTTGATATTCTTGTTTCATCAACTTGTTAATCAATAATTTACCTCGTTTTAGAAATTGTTTATATGTAGAGCATGCTCTTGCGTATCGAATTAACTGAGATATATGAACTCCGTATGCGGTTACCGGTGATGAAGGTATATTGCTGCATAAGTAAGGAAAGTCGACGATTTTAAAGATAAACTCATCACCTTTATAATAGAGCTTGGTTGTTAGATTGCCATTAACGTCTTTTTCAAGTAAAATATCTAAATATGAAACAGATGTGTCAGACTCTGTGGTATCTTTAATCTCAAGCTCACCAGGATATATCGTATCGACATTTGAATGGAAATTACCATAATTGACAATACGTCGTCGATATATCTAAGTGTCGAGTTGAAGGCCACAGCAAGTGTTTTCTTCTTTTCACCTATAAGATGTTGGACAAATCTACTTCATATGAATACAAAAATAGGTCTGCTAATAAAGAGGCTCAGATGGTGCCCACGGGAATTCTAATTGATTGTTGGAAGACCTGGTCTCCAAAAACCAAATTATAGATATCGTCAATCAGAAACTCAAGCATCTTATTGATATCAACTTCAGAGTACTTGTGTGTACAATCAAATGTTTTTTTAACAATTGAGATAATTTTACAAATGACCAATAACAAGCTAAGTAATTTACGAGTTCCATTTTTATTGAAAAAGCAAGTTTTTTTAACAATTGAAATAATTTTACATATGACCAATAACAAGCTAAGTAATTTACGAGTTCCATTTTTATTGAAAAAGCAACTGTCAATGATATCAAAAAGCCTGGACTTTAATTTATTGTGGGGAATGGTTGTGTGTAATGTTGAAAAGTCTTAAGTTTTTAAGCTGCTAATTTTGTAAAATCTTGTGATTTCAAATTGTCCAAAAGTTCCTTGGAATTTTTAAGTATCCACATCTGATTTACACCACTTCTTGAATATATTGTTGCACAGTACTCTTGAAGTTTCTCCCTCAATACTGTTAATATCTTAGTGAGGAATAAAGAAAGAGGCTTGGTTGAGCATTGACTGGAACCGTATATGTATCTTTGTTTGTAAGGATTTTTATGAAGTTTAGGAATCCAATACAGATATTGAATTTCAAATTCAATTTGGTTCTTTGGGATTCTTTTTCTAATTTTTAAAAGGTTTCTTACGGAATTGTTAGTGGAGAATTACGCACACATGGAAGAGTTTCCCCCCTCCTTTCATTTCATTTTTGACACCTCGATCAATATAAAATATTAAGTACTAGCTGCAGATCTAGCTATCTTGCGCATGTCCTTAAAACAAAATTTCATATAAGGGACAGATCCATTTTCAACGTTTAAGTACTCTGAACTAGATGCATGTTTGACGTCCTTTGAATTCTGAATTTTCACTCGTATTGAGACACCATCACTTACCCGTGAATGGTTGCAAAGACCTGCACATGAGACGTATTACATTTCAGCAGTGATCTTTCCCTGTCAGTATCTACTGTGACAATAGACCTCTGTAAATAATTTCAAATTTAGACCTGTACTCAACACTAACGGCATTTCAAAAGTGAGGTATAATTTTCGCGCCAGCACCTTCTGCGACAAAGGTTATAAGGTCAAATTCGAAGGTCCTTTTTACACGTGGATATAAACTGACTATGTAACAGCACTGGAACACCAAAACTGCCAATAAAAAACAGTATCTTTCAGTGGAAGAAAGCAAACAAATTGAATATAAGTTTGTAAATGTTTTTTATTTAATTTTCTTTGTTTGCCTGTAAAATTAAACATTAAAATAAATCAAAATAAAACAGTTTAAATCCTCTTAGTGTAAAGATTGACAGAATTTCATATTTGCTTTAATTTCTTTGTGAATGAAAATTATTATTTCTTTCAATAAAACAGAGAGAAAAATAGAAACTTTTGTAAATTAACTATAAGCAAGAGTGCCAAAATAATCAGCAATCACCTAAACTATGCATTTCAATTTCTCTTAAGTTTATAAATCTGAAACTCATGAAATTTAATATATAAAAATAAAAAAAATAACAATAAATAAAACAGAAGAGACTAAATTCTCTTTATGAGAAGATTGACAGAAATTCATTTTTCCTATAATTTTTTTGTGAATGAAAATTATTTCTTTTCGAAAAACAGATTAAAGAGAAAATTATAACTTAGATATTATATATTTGAAAACAGTAATTATACTCACAAAACGTCTAGCACTAGTCATGTGATATAACAATAAGACCAGAATACTCAATAAGGACACCTTAACTATACATTAATTTTTCTGATGTATATCTGTGTAAAACATATCCTCTCTTAAGGTGAAAAAATAATCAATGATTTGAACAAACTTGAACCTTTAAAACAGGGTAATATTTGCAAATAAATGTTTCACCCCAATACTTGAGAATAATTTTTTAATAAAGTGCCACGCCACAGCATGATACGCCCGTCAAAAAATTACAATTATCTTAAACAATTAAAAGTGCAAGAAAATCATGTCGACCTTGATTTTAGATTTCCATGATTTTTCAACTCCTTAAAAAATTTGTTTATCCATCTCCTGTGGTGTAGGCATTAATTATAACATATATTGCATCATTCATAGATTTCTATACTGGTTGTGTTAGACCTTGCCAAATGCCTATCATATTAAACAATGTCAAATTAGTCTTAACAACCTAATCTATACCTAATTAATTTTGAAAATAAAATGCTGGCCATCAAATATAAAATGACCAACAGTTCTTCTGTCTAATTCCCAAAGGATACACTGTCAGTTAAGATAATGCTCTGAAGAAATGATTGAGACAGCTATAGCCTTGCTACATTGAACACATTAATTAATCTTTAACTGGATGCTTGTCTACTCATTACTCCCAAGAGATTATTGGATCTACACTATCTACCATAAAGAATTTTTAAAACATATAAAACCTCAATGATTTTTTTTATTAGATTTAATGGCAGACAGGTTTTAATATGCAATTCATATGGACATGCTGATTCCACCCCACCCCCATAAAATTAGTTTTTTAAAGTTCATAATATTATGCAATATCAAAATAGTTTATTATGCAAAATCAAATTAGTTTTATTTACTTCTCATCAAATTCATTTTAAAACTTATGCTAGCCAACTAGAGCTTATTTTTAATTCAACAGGATTACCCATTTGGCCCAATACTCAAGGGATATAGATAGCACCGATGCTCTTCCTCACACTAAACTCATTAATTTCTCTCTCTAATTTGACATGCAATTTTCTGTTATCAAAATTCTTCTTGACCAGTGCTTGATAATTAAACTCATGGGAGTGGTGGAATTTCTTTAACATACATTACATTTGTTATAGATTGCTGTCAAGTATATGCTAAAAAAAAATAAGTATTTTCTTGATTTAACATTTTTCTAATAAGGATAGTGCAATACTTTTACATTTTTTGGAGTGTGTAAATGAAGAGAAAAAAAGTCTTTTTTTTTTTAAATTTCACTTTAATTAAAGGTCACAGTGACCTTGAAATAGGTCGCGACACACCCTCTACCTAAGATGCATCAAGTGGCCAAGTTTGATGATTCTAAGTCTAATAGTTTTCTAGTTATGGACCGGACAGGATTTTTCTATATTTGGCTATAACTTTTTAATTATAGGTCAGAGCGACCTACTTTTTGTGTGCGACACACCTTCTACCCAAGAAGTATCAGCTGACAAAGTTTGATAACTCTAGGCCTTATAGTATTCAAGTTATGAGCCGGACACGAGAAAAGCTAAAAGACGGACAGACAGACAGACAGACGGACATGAAGCCTATAACATAATACGTCCCGTCTTAAGACGGGCGTATAAAAAGACCTTGAAATATTTTATTATAATAATTTGGCCCCTTACTATGTACCACAGTCTACGAGAGCCATAGAAAAACAAGATCTGAGAAACAGTGATGCCCCAAAAATCATTCATTGTCAAGGTGAAAAGGTGAAAATTTTGAAAATTCAACAGTACAGTAATAATACTGAACGGTAGAATATCTTTCATTCCCAAATGCATGTTGAACACCAAGATTTAGAGATCAAAACTGTTGGTACCCACAGAAAGCATTGTTACGAGAATATGAAATGTAAAAGCATTGTTAAAGAGTCAAGGCCAAGGTTGAAGTTTAGTAAAATG